GGCCGGCGAGCAGGACGGAGAGCGCTGCCGGCCGAGGCGTCTATGAAAGTTCTGGTGGCCTTTCCCCTCCGCGTGTGGGCGGAAAGGTGCGCGGTCGTGCTCCGCTCAGAGCAGTGACACAACTCATCAGTGTGGACCTCTCACTACTGACGTCTGTCAGTGCACACACATTTAATTTTGTACATTCTGTGGATTATTTTTGCCCTATGTGCAAACTCACGTCTTGCTGAGCTACCGAATTTGCCCATCTTTCTATCTTTGTCAGTAAACGTCTTTTTTTTTTTTTTTTTTTTTTTTCTACCGAATTTGCCCATCTTTCTATTTTTGTCAGTAAACGTCTTTTTTTTTTTTTTGTTTTTTTTAAGTAAACTTCTCTTATTTTGTACTTTTTTAAGGAAAGGGCCCTTAAAGCTTTCACTGGTACCAGTCAACTGCCTTTATGTTTCTCACAGAAACTATTGGATGTATAACTCTACGTGCTTTTACAGTTAATTCCAGTGTTTGCCGCTGTGTTTTGTTGTACTTGCAGTTTTACTTGCTCTCATGCTTAAACTATGAACTGTTCTGGGCAAGACCCAAATGCATGATTATGCATAAAACATGTTCATTATGCAGCAGTTCTCTGTGTACTTTTTATTGTAGTTAGATATACTGGTGATTAGTATGTCCAGTACTTTCATCATTTATTCCAGAAAGGTAGTTTAAAGATCGTGGTCTGTGTGGGGCATTTACAAAGACGTGCAGTCCAAGTAAACTAGGGTATCCTGATTGCTCCATAGCTTTTACAGATCACTCTTGAGCAGCATTTAATCTTATTTTAATTAGAATGCATATATGGATGCTATATCTTAAAGGAAATGACATAATCTTTTAAGCAAGATGGAGAAGAGCACTTCTTAGTCTTCCTGTTCCTTCTAACAGAAGCCTGGTGTATTTGGAGTTCTGACTGGTACTATGGAAAGGCCAAATAAATGAATAAAAGCCTCTCATTGCAAGAGCTGGAGAAGGAAATTCTCATCTATTGCCATTATTTTTGGGATAAGTGGCAGTTATTTGATACTCTGTTTTGGCAATAGGAAGGGTGCAGTTCTGCATTTAAAACTTGAGTGCTGTCTTCTAGGTGCTACTATTAACTGGAAAGAAACCTCATGTTATTCTGCAGTTCTGCTGCACCTTTCTGTTACATCTTTCTTCCGAAATTCTGAATAGATGAAGCATATGCTTTTGAATTTGGACTTGTGGCTGAAACATTTTTGGCAATGGTTGTATGAGAAATTTAAGGTACAGATACAAACCTCCGAGTTCCCTTTTGAAAGATTTTCCCAACACAAAACAATATGTGTTGTTATCAGACATAAAAGCTTCATGGGTTTTTACAGACTCAATTGGGTCACCCCACTAGTGGATGAAGGGAAGGTAGTGCATGTAGTTTTTCAGGATTTTGGTAAGGCTTTTGATATTGTACATCGTAGCATCCTTCTGGACAAATTATGTAAATGTGCGATGAGTGAGTTCACGGTGTGCTGAGCGATGAGCTGGCTGAGTGGCAGGGCTCAAAGGGAATGGTGCTACATCTGGCTGGCAGCCAGACACCAGCGGTGTTCCTCAGGATTCAATTCTAGGGCCAGTTCTGTTCAATGTGTTTATCAATGATGTGGAGGCAGGAGTTGAATGCATCATTAGCAAGTTTGTTGATGATACTAAACTGGGAGATGCAGTTGTCTTTCTCAAGGGACAAGAGGCCTTGCAGGGGGAGCATTGGGCAACCATCAATGGAATGAAATTTCATGGGAACAAATGCCAGACTCTGCATCTCGGACAGAATAATGCCGGACGTAAGCATAAACTGGGAGAGGAGTGTCTGGAGAGCAGCCCTGCAGAAAGGGATCTGGGAATGCTGGTTGACAGCAGACTCAACAGGAGTCAGCAGTGTGCCCTGGCAGCCAAGAGAGCAAACCACATCCTGGGGTGCATCAAACACAGCATAGTCAGCTGGTCAAAAGAGATGGTTGTCCCACTGTACTTAGTGATGGGATGCGGTTCTGAATTTGAAAACAATATTAAGGTACTTGAATGCACCCAGAGGAGGGCAAGCTAGCTGATGGAAGGGCTGGAACGCTTGTTCTGTGAGGAGCAGCTAAGGACTCTGGGTTTGTCTAGTTTGGTAAAAAGGAGGCTGAGGGGCGACCTCATTGTTCTCTACAGCTTCCTGAGGAGGGAAGGGGAGAGGGAAATGCTGAGCTCTTCTCCATGGGATCCAGTGGTAGGATGCATGGAAATGGTTCAAAGCTGTGCCAGGGAAGGTTTCGACTGGATATTAGGAAGCATTTCTTTACTGAGAGGGTGGGCAGACACCAGAAAAGGCTTCCTGGAGAAGTGGTTGATGCCCCAAGCCTGTCAGTGTTTAAGAGGCATTTGGACAATGCCCTTAATGACACGCTTTCACTTTCGGTCAGCCCTGAAGTAGTCAGGCAGTTGGACTAGATGGTCATTGTAGGCCCCTTCCAATGGAAATATTCTATTCTAACTTAATATATTTGCAATTTCATTTTTTTTTTCAGAGGACAGATCTGTAATTTTAAAATCAAAAATAATGTTTTGCAAGTTCTGGTAAAGACTCTACCAGGAAAATGTAGCTGCTCTCTGTTGAGATACCTTTAGCCAAAGCTTTGCCTACCTTTAGGAAGGCAGTGGTCTCTTCCTTTATCAATTTTATACATTCTGATAAAGGTATGACTTTTTTCAGAATGATGTGACTGTCTCTGAAGGTGGTGCCCTGAAAATACTTTTTCAAGAAAATCATGTGCAAGGTGATAGAGCTTTGCTAATGTGACTGACACTTGACTTCTCTCCACATAGGAGATGAATTTGGATTGGGAATGATTATGTAAATTGTACCAATCTCTGATTAACCTTCTCAAGTAATACTGCTGCAATTCCTCTGCCAGGAAAAAAAATAAAAGCTTAAGTTCCTGTCTGTCTTTGTATGGGGACTTGTTTGAATGCCCTGATTGTAAAGGTTGGGCTGCTTGTGCCTCTCCTTCTGCTAGTACACTGAGAAGCTTAGTTTGGGAAGTATTGTTGGTAGTTGTGACAACTGAAATGGACAATCTCAGAGCGGTAGAGGCTGGCAGGCAGCTCTGGAGATTGTCTAGTCCACCTTCCTGCTCATGGCAGGGTCACCTACAGCAGGATGCTCAGCTCTTGTCCAGTTGAGTTTTGATTATCTTTAATGATGCAGATTCTGCAGCCTCTCTGGGCAACATGTTCCTGTGTTTTACCACTCTCGCAGTAAGAAAATATTTTTTTTTTCTGTTGATGCTGTTACTGTTTTCTGGTTTTCTCCAATCACATTGGTGAAAAAGTTTTTATTGTAGTGAAGCCTTAGTCTTTTCCAGAATCCCTTGGACTGGAGGTCTTGCCTGCACAGACTTGTTTTCCTGCATTAGATAATTCTGCCAATTACAATAGAATTTTTTTGCTTTTATGAATTTTTGTTCTAGTATATATCAAACTCCTTTTATAACAGAAGATTTGCAAAGAATAAAGATCATACAGCAGATCCATCAGAGCTAGGCATAAGAAAACTGAGACACAGTGATGCATTGTTTAGTCTACCAATGGAGTTTTACTACCTTTTTTGCTCCTTATTTTGATACATAAAATACCTTATTGTGTGTGGTTGCCCTTCATGATACATAGCAAGACTAAAGTTAGAATTCATACATCCCTTTGGTTTTTCTCCCTATTACTCTGTCTGGACAGTTTTGTTTTTTTAACTTAAAGCCTATTTCAGACAGAAGTCTTATTCCGTGTTCATGTAGGAAGAAGTGCATGTCCTTAAATATTCATTCTTTCTGAGGTAATGAGAAAACAGGTGTAGCAGATGAGGTGAAATAGCTTTTCTTCTTTTTAGATAAAAGTGTGCTACATAGTATGGCATGCTAAGTAGGACATCCAAAATGTGTTTCAGTATGAAGTGTGTATCATGATTTTCATTTAACACAAATTTCTAGGAAGTTTTTCGTAAATCTTTTGAACAGTGATTACTGAATGTCTTTCACAGGTGCAGGATCTGTAGCTCATGCGTGGCTTTTGTAGACGAAAGGCTCAGTTAACTTCAGTTTTTCTTCAGTTTTCATTTTCTTAACATGTTTTCTACCTTTTTTCTTTTTTACACCAACATTTCTTAGTTTCTCTTATTTAGGTCTCTTCTTAATTTAACAGTCTATTACCTATGCCAACTCTGATGTTAGTCAGATAGTATCTGTTTGTATTTGCTTGTGGATTCCTCTACTTAAGCTGTATTTGATGAAGGATTGAGGCTAAGCATGTAGAAATACAACGTTAAGTTTTCATGTACTTTTAAATCCATTTTTCGTAACTTTATCTTATTAAATTCCAAAGTGTCCATATTAACTTCGGATTAACTACTACAGATAAAAATTAACCCTGTTAAGTTCATGAGGGGCATAGAGAACACTACTGGCTTTAATGAAACTGGGTTTTTGTCCTAGGTTTTCTTCCTGACAGTCACAGGGTAGAAGGTTTTAATTTAGGTTTTGTTAACATTCATTGCACGGCTCTAGTGTCATAGTTATGACCATACTTGCATGTTGCATAAGCGTCTCCAATATTCTTTTACCTTTAGACTTTTGATTAATCTATATATAAAGTTTTCATGTCACAACTAATTCTTTTATCCGTTTTTCAGCAGCATTCATTTCAATCTAGAAATTATTGCCAGCCTTGTGATAAGATTTTTTTGCGTTATCTGCAATCTGGACATTTGCTATCACTGTCTTAGGTTATTCTTGACTCACAGAGGCAACTAATTTTCCTTTTTACCCTGTTGAGTAAAACAAGTAAAGTGTATAGTGAGATTGACAGAAATATTGACTATACAAATAGCATGAACTGCTTTGCTTTCATTTGCTATTTTATTTGCATTAAAAATAATTTCTACTCTGTTAGCCTATTGGGAAGTGCTTGTCCTAGTGCCAATTGCTTAGCTTCTACTTCAATAAAAACAAAATGAAAGACACAGTATATATGAAACAACCATATTTTTCATCACACTTTCATCTTAAAGTTTTAGAATTTTATTCAGCTTGGTTCTTTGAAGTATACAGCTTCTTTCTATTGAGGACTAAAGGCCAGATGAATTGAAGGAAGAAAATGGAAGGAACTTGGTCTTGAAACAAAAGGTGAAATTTACATCTTTGTTATCAGCCTTAGCTTTAAACAAGTTGTGCTAAGGCACTTACATGGCTGGCACAACAGTTACTGCTGTTTCAAATCATAGCTGAGGGTGGAGGAAATGATCGTGCTGATTATTTATTTTTATAATAATGGAAGTTGGAGCATTTTGAAGAAAGTTATGTATTTTGTATCCTTCCTATGGAAATAAGGTTGCATTTCCTTCTCGGTTCCAAAAGGAGGTCTAGTTCACTGGAATATAGTCTAAACCATGACTGGATGCTGATGTGTGTTCTTTCAAAGTTGCCCTGGTGTGAATGTTTTTCCAAGAAGCAAAGTAAAAAAAAAATTATTTAAGCACACCAGAGTTCAGGACAGAATTTGAAGCTAAGAGTCTCAGTATCATATTTAATATGCCTTATAAGTGGTTGAAGTGGTGCCTCTGTGTGGGGCAGAGAGGTGATTATGCACAGTATAATAGTGGAAAAATATACATAGTAATTTAGTATATACATAGTATATAGTACATACTATAGTAGCATAATGTTATACATAAATACTCCTTTTGATTATTAGCTCTGAAATATCCAGTACTGAAGTTCCTGGATGTTGTAAACACCTTTTCTAGGCACCTAGCTAGGGTTTGTAAATTCTGGAGTTTCTAGAAGCAACAGCTGCTATCACGTTTGAGTTTAGCAGCCTAGAAAGCAGATTCTTTTATTTTTAATGTCCAGTAGCTTTCACGTACCTGCTGTTGGCTAGTATACACTAGCTGAAAGTGACTCTGTCAGCATTTTGTAATGCCTTTGCATAGTGTTTGCTGAGTGGCTAGTGGTCTGATTTCCTGATTCTCAGAGACTTGAGAAAGGTGTATTCGATGCATATAGTCCTGCAAAGCCAAGTGGAATGGTTCAGTGTGCATGGGGGTTACATAGGACGCAGGCCCACACAGAGAAGCCATGGAAAGTGAGAAAAGCAGGTGCAGTCTGTTCATCTGCCATAAGCACTGTGCCTTAATCCTGAAATGTCAATCACTGCACCTTCCTTTTGTCTTTCATGAAGAATAAGTTCTCTCTTATTCCAAAGTGTAATTATGAACAGTGTTTTTAGTTTGATAGCTATAAAGACTTCGTAAAGTATAATAAAAAGTTTTGATGTCACCTGTGACTGGTCTTTGCTCTGTCTTTGTTGAATTTCTCTCTGATTTGATCTGCTGTTCTATAAGGATGCATAAAACACATAGAGAGTATGTAGCAAGACAATTTTTTTTTCATTGTAGGATCTGCTAGAAGTATGCATTTTCATGTGGTTTTGCCTGGCTCTTGCATTTAGCTACCAAGTGCCCATATAGGCTTTTTGTATTCACTACAGTAATTCTGTACAAAACTACAGATGACATTCTTCTTGGCCTTAATCATTTAATGTAAACTCTTGATGCTTAGAATTGTCTGATCTCTGAATTTCGTAAAGCTACGTGTGTACACTTTACGTATACTAGGTTTTTAAAATTTTATTATAAATATCAATATAGCTGTATTTTAAGGGATAGTTTTCTTACATTGTTGGAATAGAAAGTAGAGAAAAATTTATAGAACTTAAATGTTTTAAAATACATTTCAGGCTCAGAAGGCGAAACAGAAAAACACGAAGATATGGAGTTTTGGATACAAACATAGAAAACATGGAGCTGACCCCATTAGAGCAAGATAATGATGATGACGATACAACTCTATTTGATGCTAATCATCCTCGAAGGTTTGTATGTAGAAGCCCAATGTACTTCTAGCAATAGAAGTGAAGGAGTATGGATGATAAGCAGTTTCACTGAGAAAGCTCACTGCTGTGTTTCATATGCATGTAGTTGGAGAAGGGATGTCAAGATCACTTGAATTTTAAATGGGCAAGAATTTAGTGGGCAAGAAGATAAACACCATTTGTCTTCAGCATGTGAGTTCCAGAGAAATGGAGAGGAAGGTACGATATTTTTATTACAAATTCAGTGTCATTATTGAACCTTATGTTAAAGTCGACAACTAGCTTTTACCTTTCTCTTTTTCATTTTTCTTTTTATTTTTTTTATTTTGGAGGCTCCTCAGTGTTTCCTGTGTATTCTTGCCTATGAGTTCTGCTTCCAGCAGCTTCATTCTGCTTTCTCATTGCTAAAGTAGTAAGCAGTTACTTGATGACGGTCCTGCACCAAATTTTCAATTTGGTACTGCTGCATAGAAAGGATCATATTCTTAAGTCACTCTCTGAAAACTATGTAGATAAAGGAAAGTTTTGTTATATTTCCTTATTGTCCTTACACTTAAACTTTATGATCAGTTCAAACTTAAACTTATGCAATTCAAACTTAAAGTTTTCCTTATTGAGTAATGCCGTCACACTGCACATGCAAAAACATAGTAAAAAATTTGCTGGAGGACTACTGTCAAGTATCAGAAGCAATAAAACACTGAATTTAGCCAGTCACAGCTAGTAATTGAGTCAGCTGTTTAATGTGAAACTTAATTAAATTCTTAAGCAAAACAATTCAACAAATGCAATACATGATGTCACAAATTAATTAAAAGTGTTGGAGTAGTAAGTCAGATGTTCTGCTGTTTATCAGGGAGCAACTTTAGATGCAGTTCTGGAGCTTGAAGTGAAAGTTCAGTCTTTTTTAACTTTGTCTTCTTAGTGGGAGTCTTTCAGATTAATTTATTTTTCATAAGTCAAAGTCGCTCTTTCCTTTTTGTGTCCCCCATACATTAGAAGACACTAGTTGAAATATCTCCACTTACTGCTCCTCTGTATTAAGAGAGTCATGGGGCAGTTGCAGTTACCCCATGTTACTAGTCTTGTTCCAGTATAAATTATGCCAATTATGTAATAAATAATTGTCACATTATATCCAGGAATTCCTTTGATGTCTGTCTTAGATCTTTTAACTTCTCTTGTAACTCAGCATACTTAGACTTCAAGGTATTTGATGACCAGTTAACATGATATTCCTCATAAATTTTTATTTACAGGAATATCAAATAACCTTTTCACTAGGAATAAACATGATAACATAGCTAGTCATCGTTAGCTAACAGTATTATACAATTAACAGCAGTATTGTATTCATGTTATAGAGATTACTCCATACTCTTGTATGCTTATTTGGAGATTAAGCATTCTATATTTGTGGTTAAGCTTCAAGGAGCTGATAACGTCTCAAAAGCAGGATTTTATCTGAAGGGACTGTACTATTAATATGTTAAGTAGGTATATGCACTGTGTCTTCTTGTGCAGAGGAGGCTGTGTTAATAAGTGGTATTGAAATATATGTCTTATGCATGTAGATAGGTGTTCTGATTTTTTTCAACTGCTTGTAATAACTTTCAATTTAACTGTTTTGGAAATGGGGGGTGTGGTGTGTGTTATATTAAGCTTTCCAGACACTAATATGGCAGCATGTATCTTTTAAGCCTACTCTTTTACCTTAGTAGGTTGCTGTCTAAATTAATTCATGTTCTACAGATAAATCTAAAATTTCTAGCTTGAAGCTTGCTGTATATCAAGATAAACAAGATGGTATTTTTGAAGTTTGAAGCTACAAAAGTGCCCCAAGTGTCAAAGTGATTGTGCCTGTTTATTTAAACTTCTTTGCATACCTTAAAATAGAAGCAATGAAAACACTAGAGGGAAAGTTGGAAAAAAAAATCAAACCCAAAAAAACCCCACACCAAAGAAACCTCTGTCCTAATTTCCAAATACTCAGTCCCTCTTTAAACTGAAGTACTGCAGCAAATTGTTTAGTTTAGCTATACTAGGCAATTTAGAAGTATTCAAAAGTACATTACTGATCCAGACCATTTTTAAAAATAGTCCTTTGGATGAAATATGGTACAGTTTGAGTACATTTGTAGTGTTTCATTTAGCTGATGTTGTAGCTATGGTAAAATAAAGCAGCTATTAATTTTAATAGATACAGTTCCTCACACACTGTGGTACCTTGTTGATGAAAGAACTTCTGCTAGATAAGTAGTATTTGATTTTAAAAGCATAATCTTCAGCTGAAAAAGCAATACCTGATGTTTTGATCGAAGTCCAAAGAGCCCAGAAAAAGTGGAGTGAGAAGTGGCATGTAATGTTTGAATATGTCATAGTCTGGAGTAAATACATAGAGTGACGTAACTTGTGATGTATGCATCCCTTCATTTCTGCTTTATGGGGCTGCAAAATGACTTAAAATTTGATATTTGCTCACAGAAGAGATGATAATGTCAACTTCTCAGTCAAACTGCAAGAAAAGTAAATGTATTGGAGTAACTGAGTGATCTAACCAAACTTAATTTCAACACATTTCTGTTAACTTTCTGAGGAAAACTGACTAAACAGATCAGAAGTTAATACCTTCAGAAGATAATAACTATAGATAATAAAGGAAGAAGATGCTAGTTTGTTTCAAGGTAGCTCAGAAAGTAAGTGCTTAAATTATCAGTCATTTTGCTATTGGGAGCTTGAGAAAGCAAGGACTTCAGTTATGTTTAGTCAATAATGCGAATATACTCCATTTATGTATATTGAGAGCTTGCTGTGCTGTCCTTTATGGGGAGAAGCTCCCAATATTTTAGAAGTTATTTTTTATCTTGAAACAGTGTTTGTGTAGGAGGAGAACAGTGCTGAACAATATGAATGCACTCCACAAATCTGTGTAGAACAGCTTGATAAAATGTTGTCCAAACTGCAAAGCAAAGACAATGCTGGGAAGGAAGTTTGAAAACTGATGTAGAGTACTTAAAAAAAAAAAAAAAAATTAGGAATGTACTTTTTCAGTTAATTTCATTCTCCTAAGAAGGAAAGTCTTGCATCTGTATTGAGGGTTAGTAATCAGTCCTCATGTCAGTACATAACCAAGAATGACCAAAGGGAGTACAAAATGCCTAGGTAATCAGACTCGCTGAGGACAACTTGATAATGATACTCAGATATTCTCAGGAGGTGTCATTACACTTTATCCTGACATTTGTGTTAATTCAGAGGTATGGTTATTTTTTTTTAAGGTAGCATAAATATGCAGTCAGGCTTGGAGCAACTAATTAGGGAACAAGGAAGACAGACTTCTATTGTTTTTTGAATTTAGTCCTTTGTTAAGTAAATCACAGTTGCAGTTTCGGTTAACTAGAGTCAATGATCAGCTTATTCAGTTCATAAGTTTCTTACCCTCATAACTTAACGGAAGGCATTAAAAAACTAAATGCAGTTACAGGAAATTCTAATCTACAAGTTCTGGTGGGTTCACATGCTTTTGTTATGGGTAACGAATTATATAAGTATTGTTTTATATAGAAAATAGTTGTCTGTTTGCCTTCTTTCTTCATGACCTGTTAATAGACTGCAGTAGTATCCACTCTGCTTTCATTTTCCTTGACTAAAACAGATGAGCTTTTTTTAAGGTGAATATACAGCACAGTATGCATATGTTATAAATCCCTACAGGCTTGTTTTATGTTAGCTGGTAAGTCTATTTGATTCTTTCCAAGGCTAGGTAGAGAAACTGGCTTCTTTCTTAAAGTCAGCGTAGCAGGGTTATTCTATTAGTGTTTAGATATGGCTATTACTTCCAGTGTTGCTGTTTTCTTTCAGAGCTGTATGAATAAAGTCCACAGTGCCCTCTCTTGTAACATACATGTAGTTTAAGTGTACTCCCGTTGTCGTCATCGCCCCTGTAGCTAGTCTCTGTGCTGTTTCAGTTTGGGGCAGCTTACCTGAATGGGGTGTTTTAGCAATTTTGCTCAATAGCATACTATTACATGTCAGAGTCTGAAATTCTAACTTTTGGTTTCTCACCACGCAACTTTACCTATGTGTCAACTGAAGTACATTATCCTAATATCACATCTTTGTTTTTCAAAGGTGTATCACACCAATAGTTTACAATCCTCATTAAATCACTTTACACACAAACTACTTGCTGCACTACAACGCACAAGGAAAAGCACTTACTCTATTTTTGATAGTATTCCAGTTAGGGAAGTTTGAATAGGCACTCAGGGGCCTTGGAAGTTTAAAAATATATCCAACATGGTAAAACCCCATTTTTTTTGTAAGTGAGATGTCTATCTATTTGGAAAGTTTAAATGAATAGAGTTTTATGGTACTTTGCTTCAAATTGATATGGTAACTATGAGTTTTTACAGGCAAATAATAGTATGCTACATCTCTATATGTTTTTTTCATAATGTTTGATCTTCAGAAATGTAGGATAAAGTTCCCCTTGAAACAGGGCATTTCAGATTAATGCATCTGTTTCTTCTGTTGTAGAGAAGTACATGCCTTTCAGTGAAAGAACTTAATCTTAGAACCAGAGAAGGAGACTACTTCGTGGGAGGAATAAGAAGCAAGAGGGTATGCAAGTTGGGGGGACTAATTTAATTTATGTATATTATGGCATCCTTAATTTGTTGCAATAAATACTGTATCAATTTGTTGTACCTTTTTGTATATAGACGGCTCTAAATGTACAGCCTAGGGAGTGAGAGTGCACTAAAATGAAAACCTGTTTGGAAGGGAGATTTCTTTTAAAACAGGGTATTTTTTGCTTGTTATGAATCTTGTATGCCATAAGTGTGGTATACACTTTTTCTACAGTAATCTGGAATGTTAATTTTTTTTTTTGCTGATACTGAATTGTAAGTAAACATAACTTCTGTGGACTCCTCAGAATTGATAGAACTTAATTTTAGTTGAGGATACGCTTTGTCTTTTACAAATAAAAAGCCAAACTACAGCCTTTTGTGTTGAAACTTTTTTAAAACTGAATGAACATGTTTTATGTAAACTTTAGTGAACAAATAAAAACTGTTAACAGTGTTCCTAGCATTTAGTGTGATACTTCAACACTATAGATTTTAAGGATATTAAAATAATCTTGTAAAGCACAGTACTGCAGCATCTTTTTGCTGTTAAAACTACGGTTTACAACTATTAAGTGAATTTTTTTGTGAGGTCCATATTCAGCTTGTGTTAATAGATGTTGCTCACTGACTTTAGGGTGCTGTTGGTGTAGTTCACACTGTGCCAGTGTTCAGACCTATGGTGAAGCAGAGATAACCCTTTGGGTAGCCTTGTTCACTCTTTTTACTCTTTAAACAATTTAGATCAAATACTAAACTTGCTGCAACTCTAAAATGAAAAACTGACATCAGGAGCAGCTGTTACTATGAAATGTGCAGTCATACTCACATGAATGTAGTTGGCATCCAGCAGTTACACTTATTTTTTAGCTAGTGCATAAAAATGAATGGAAAAAAACTAAGACCTGGAAGACCTGCTTTTTAAAAAAAACGTGTTGCAGTTTCCACAGGAACCTTGATAATGCGGACAGACTGTTCAAATTCCAGTTAATTAAAATTACTGTTTAAATTTATTGCTAATTCGGTATATATCTAGTATCAAAGCATAAACTTGCTGTAGCAGTGTTGGTGGGGCTGGCTATGTTTCCTGAAAGTTCCTGTGTTATGGGCTACAGAGTAGAGAGGCGTTACAGAGATACCTGGATAGACTACAGAGCTTAGCAATCACCAACGTTATGAGATTAAGCAAGAGCCAAGTGCCAGCTTCTCCACCTGGGATGAGGAAATCCTGACTATGCATAGAAATTGGAGGATGAGGCTGGAGAGCAGCCCTGCAGAGATTGGTGGGTTTGGATTGATGGCAGGTTGAATATGAATCAAAAGTATGCCATGTCAGCCAAAAGGGCCTACTGCATCCTAGGGTGCATTAAGCACAGCATAGCTAGCCGGTTGAGGGAGGTGATTGTCCTTCTCTACACTACACACTGGTGTAGTCCCACCTCGAGTACTGTGTGCAGATTTGGGTTCCTCAATATAATGACATCAGCCTGTTGAAGTGTGTCCAGAGGAGGGCAACCAAGATGGTCAAAGGTCTTGGGGGCAAGACTTAGGAGGAGCAGCTGAGGTCACTTGATTTGTCAGCTTGGAGACAAGAAGGCTGAGGGGTTGTCCCTCAAGCAGGGTCCAGTACCCAGTGTGCAAAGCCAATTGTACACACAGAGCTGAGATACTTATTTATCTTCAAGTCTGCACAGAAAAGGGTGCTAGGTGGAAATTCCGCAAAGCTAGCACACCTCATTTTTTTCATGATACAGTTTATATACACTTTACAGGTACATAATTACTTATTTACTACGCATGCTCAGAAGGTATTTATTGTTATGCTCTCTACTCTAAAACAAAAAATATAAATTAAATTAGTTAGCGTACAGATTTTCAAGGATGTTTTCCTCAAAACTACATTTTTTACCGATTGATTTGTCCTTGCCTAGATTGCATGTATTGGTCCAAACAAGCTAGTCTGTCCGGTGGTACTTTCTGGGGTAGGTTGTTTCCCTTTTATCAGTCTTATTGTTAGTCATCTTATTCAAAGGAATAGTCATTAGTAAGGTATGCATTGCTGGTAGACCATCTGGTCCACTTGACAAAACATCAGGCCCTGAATCTTGTGAAGAACAGGACTGGAATCTGGAAAAACAGGACTGAGCTTTGAGAAAGGAACTCTTGCTGACAGACCACTTGGTCCATCAGACCAAATGAGCAGCCCTGGATCTTGTGAAAAACAAGGTTTGCCAATCTTATGAGAATTTTGTGAGAAACAAGGCCAAAAACCAAAGCCGGAAAACAGGGCCAGACTTGGGAAAGAAAAGGAAGGAAAAACTCCATTAGTAAAAGAGAAAAAAGAAGGGAAAAAAAAATTAATTACTTGCTATACACGAGGGTGACTTCGTCACAGTCTACAACTTCCTCAAGGGGGGCAGCCAAGGGGAAGGTGCCAATGTCCTCCCTCTGGTCAACTGCAGTATGACACTAGGAGATGGAATGAAGCTGCATCAGGCGAAGTTCAGACTGGACATTAGGAAAAGCTTCTTGGTTGGTCACTGGAACAGGCTTCCCAGGTCATGGCACCAAGCCTGTCAGAGTTCAAGGAGTGTCTGGACAATGCTTTTACATGATTTAGCTTTAGGTAGTCCTGTGAGGAGCAGAGAGTTGGGCTCAATGGTCCTTATGGATCCCTTCCAACTTGAGATATTCTATGATTCTGTATATGGCAAGGACGTAGTCCGAGGTCAAAACCAAGCGTTATGCCAGAGATCTTTTTAAACTGTTATTTCAAAAGGGCACTTGGTTTATTGATCTTCCCTGAGTCTCATTCTGTTTAATAGAAACAAAGACTCATTTATTATAGCTTCATAAAACCTGATCCGTAATTATAGAGGATGAAACAATACACAGTCTCACCCAGGCTTTTTGTTGTTCATGTTTTAAAGAAGAGTCAGTGTCAGTTCAACAGCTATTCAACTGAATGGTGCATTGTATAAAGAATTAGCCATTTGTAATGAACAAACTATTCTATCCACAGCTTTTTCTTTAAAAAAAAAAAGAAATCCAGCAAGAAAGCTTATAAATAAGGTAAGTAGTATTTATGAGGAATCTTTATGAAGCTCCTAGTTTTAGGGCATTTAGACTAGCACAGATTTCTGCAAGAGATTCCTTCATTCAAAAGCCTATATGACATGAATGTTTAGAAACCTGGAGATTCTGCAGGGACAGTGCAACATGTTTGCACTGAGCTTACTATCTTGAACCTACTTTGGCCTCTGTCCAAGAAAAGATGCGTTGACTAGGTGGATTTCTATTCAGACCAAATACAGATGTTCTAATTCTGCAGCCTGATAAGAATCCAAAGGCCCCTCATCTTTCTAAGCACAGAAAATGGTTTTGTGAAGATATACATTGAACCTACTGATCAAAACAGGAATGAATATGCCGACATAGTTGCATGTTTCTGAAAGTTAGTCTTGCATTTCCAAGTATGAAGATTGTTTAGGTTGATTGAGAAATCTAGTTCAAAGCTTAACTATCCTTTTTAGTAGATTGGCTTTTAATTTTGATTTTCCTGATGTGTAATCTAAATCTTGGGTTTAGTCATTTTAAGCCTATTACACTTAAGCTTTAGTGAATGGTAGAAATAGCTTTGTTCTATTGCATATCTGCTATATATTTCAAGATCATTATATTGCCTCTTAGTCTTGTCTAAACAAAGCATCCTCAATTTCTTTTCTAGTACTTTTATGATGTAGGTATGTAATACATTTCATTCTGGAAATGAACTGGCTGGTTCACACACTCCATGAACCGCAGTGTCCAAAAAAGAAGACAGTGGGTGCTGTTTATGAGATGGCAGCAATGGAAAGTATATGTGCGACATCAGTGTACATAGCCCACCTATCCTTATCCCTGTAAAAGATCACTGCCCTTTTTTTGTTACTGAAAGAACTAACAGGGAATTAACTGTCTGCACACTAAGCTCTCTGTGTGGTTGCTAGCACAGTGTAAAAGGCTTTCAATCTACCCCAGTTGTGTTACAGTGAAAGTTTTTGATTAAAGTGTGCTTAGGCATGCTAGATGATATATAACCTTAAAATTTTATATGTGTGTTTTATCTGGGTATATGTCAATGATTGGACCATGCAAAGAAACCAAGCCAGGAATAAGCCAGGAGCTTATCTGCATCCTCTCAGTATTCTATCTAGCCTGTTTAATGTGCCTGTTTCTTGTCCCAGTTCACTTATTTAGTTGGATCAGATATTTGTGAAGTGCTGGTTTATGCCATGTAGATTTAGTTCTCAGCAGTAGTTACAACTGCTTTTTTCCTGCTGGAGCAAGCAACACTTGGCCTTAATCACTTACGCATCTTACCTGAGTGCAGCATGCATGTTTGAGTTTTTCTGTTAGTATTTGCAGCTGTCAAAACAACAGTTGGTGTTTCCCGTTAGGTACACTTTAGCCCCATAATCCTACATGTTTTCTCCCAGTTTTTTTTCCTCCTAGCCTGGAGAACAGAAGCCTGAGAGGGGAACTTATTAACGCTTATAAACATCTAAAGGGTGAGCGTCAAGAGGACAGGGCCAGACTTTTCAGTGGTGCCCAGTGACAGGACAAGAGGCAACAGGCACAAACCGTAACACAGGAAGTTCCGCCTCAACATGAGGAAGAACTTTACTTTGAGGGTGACAAAGCACTGGAACAGGCTGCCCAGGGAGGAGTCTCCTTCCCTGGAGATATTCAAAACCTGCCTGGATGCAGTCCTGTGCAACCCGCTCTGGGTGAACCTGCTTTAGGAGGAGGGTTGAACTAGATGATCTCTGGAGGTCCCTTGCGACCCGTACCTTTCTGTGATTCTGTGATATGAGATGAAAGGGAATGGTCTGAAGTCTTAGCTGTTAGCTCAGTAATTGGAGCCTTATGTGTAACTTCGGGGATTTACATTCAATTCATTTTCTGAATTTTAGAAACATAAGAAATAAAAACCTTTTCCTTCCTCCCCTACTCATAGAAAAGATAAGAAGTTACCATATTTTCAGTTTTAATGCTCTAAATAACTTGTGTTGATTCAGGGCCTTAGATTTTGTAGCACCATTGGAACCATTCAATACTAGAAAGTAAACATGCAGAAAATAGGTTTCTAAATTAAATATGAATAACTACACATCTGCTCTACATTTTCAAGCAGGGTGGAGGTTCTAGAGCTTTGTTCAATCTGAGCTAGGACATGACAGCATCCATTTTCCCAGATGTGCTATGAGAGCAGGGCTTATTTGCCTGA